TGAAAAACAAGAAAAGAGAATTTGTTCAGTACAGACACAGAGGGGAGAGGGACATTGAGATCTAGTGACTTGCTATAGTCCACTTCATGTCTTAACATGAGGGTAAGGTTTAAACATCATCATTAAGCAGTGTGGTCCATTTGAGATCAACTCCCCCACACCTCTACCTACTCAAGTACAGGGACCTGGGCCACTGGATATTTCCTCTTTTATGGGGATCCAGAGCTATCCTGGGGATTTGAAAGAGGAACTTGTGCATGCTGGGCGAGAAGAGCCCTGTCCTTAAGCTTTACCTCACCCTTTTTGTCCTCCTCTTATCACTTTTAGTTTTGAGGGAAGATCTCACATAGCCCAGGTTGGCCTTGAGCTTACTTGTGTAGTCAAATATGATTGTAGCTTCTGATCCTCTTCCATTCTCCATATTTTGGAATTATAGGTGTATAACAAGATTCCTGGTTCCTTTATAAGGCAAGATCTCCCTGTGTTGCCCATTTTGACCTTGAATTTAATCAATAGTCCAGGGTAGCCCAAGCTAATCCAGTTTGTAATCACTGTGTTCCAACTCCTTTAGTAACGTGGTTTACGGCCTGCACCGTGTTCTAATTTGATGCATCTTGTAGCTTGGGATTTCTTCAGACTGGTTTTAGTATGTTGATTTTTTAGTTTCATTTATTTGTTTATTTATTTAGTTAATTTTAATTTTTGAGACAGAGTTTCTTTGTGTATCCTGGCTGTCCTGGATATCGCTCTGTAGGTACAGCAGGCTGGCCTCAAACTCAAGAGTTCCACCTGTCTTTGCCTGCTGAATGCTGGGATTAAAGGCATGTGGCACCACCACCTGGCTTCAGTTTCAGTTTTTTGAAGATAATGAAAAAAAAATTCTCCTTGAGTTCTTTGACTGTGGGTTGTTTGAGAACATTTAATGTTTCATTTCAAGTACTTGTGAATATTCCAGAATTTCTCCTGCCAACAGAGTTTGCTTTTACTCCATTATGCTAAAAACATACTCCATATGACTTTTCTGATCCTCCATTACAGGCATGCACCAACATGTCTGGCTCTTTGCTCTCTTTTGGTTACCATCTGCTTGGAGTATTTTTTTCCAGCCTTTGATTCCTTCCCAATTATGTCCTTAGTGCTGAAGAGGGTACCTCTGTGGAGTGATGCATTTACATGAGGTGAAGGAAGATGAACATAGGCATTTGTATGTGGCCTTTGACTAATACATCAGGGTTTTTCTGAGTGTTTTGGGCCATAACAGTCATGGCAGATACAGATACAGTGTCAATACTTAGGCAGAGGCAGGGCTTACATCCTGGCTAGGATGGACCACAGCAGTTTGGGATTTCTTCACATTGTTTGGGAACGGGAATACAGGTTAAAACCTATGAATTGCTTATTTCTGAAATTCTCCACTTAATATTTTAGACCATCATTTATGATGGGTAACAACATACCATGGGCAAAGAAAATATCCACAACAAATAAAGGAAGATCCCTGTATCCTTATTTCCCAGAACTCCTCGTAGCCTTTTTGTTCAGATCTGATAATCTGCCTCTTACTAGAACATGAAGAAAGGATCTTCACATGTCTAGTTTCCCATTCATTCACCACCTTTTGTTTTCATGTGTTTCCTACCCCCTGAAGTGCTGGGGCCCCAAGCCTGTTAAGTGGATCTGGATGTAGATGGACCCACCCTTGGGAACATTTTGGAGATGGAATTATCTTGTCCTTGTTAAATCTCTTGGTTAGCTCAATGCTGCCTATAATAGATTTTTCTTTTTTTTAATTAGATGTGAATTTTCTGGATTTTTGGGTGGTTTGAAAGCCTTCTGATGTATGTAAAAATTCTGATTTGTTTGGTTTTTCAGTAGAAGGTCCATAAATTTGGGGAAACCATGGAAAAAGGGTCAGTGCCCCAAAGGGGAGGACATTACTAGTCTACAGTGAAAGAAAGTTTAGGTGCCAGAAAGTGCCAGCTGTAGATAATTTCTCAAAAATCTCATTCTTGTGATTGAGTACTTCAGCCTGCAATCCCTTACACCATGTAAGCCTTTAAAGAAGCTGTCTTCAGTTTCACTTTGCCCAGGACCCATTTTGTGTTCTTCTGGACTTGTTTGAAGTACAGCACTCTATCCTTTAAAGTATGCTTTCTCTCTTAAAGTTGAACATACTGATGGCCTTCCTTCCTCACTGACTTATTGTAATGTTTCTGCCAGTAAATAATGGTAGTTGTTTATTTATTAATATGCACCAAGAATGTAAACTGTGGGGCTGGTGATGGTTCAGCAGCCTACAGATAACAGCACTGGCTTCTCTTGTTGAGGGCCCAAGGGGTTTGGATTTGATAGAGGCTCACTGCCATCTATAACTCCAGGTCCAGGCCCCTGCAGACAGACAAACACACACACACACACACACACACACACAAATAAAATATTTTTTTTGTTGAAAAACATTGTAGGTTTTATAGTATTTGGTTGGTTGGTTAAGATAATTTTGAACATGATGGATTTCATGAAGGATCAGTTTCTTTTTTCTTTTTTCTTTTGTCTTTTTTGGTTTTTCTAGACAGGGTTTCTCTGTATAGACCTGGCTGTCCTGGAACTCACTCTGTAGTCCAGGCTGGCCTCGAACTCAGAAATCTGCCTGCCTCTGCCTCCCAAGTGCTGGGATTAAAGGCGTGCGCTGCCACCATCACCTGGCTAAGGATTAGTTTCTTAAGTGTTGGAATTAATACTAAGGAAGTAATTTTTCCATCTAGTAAATTGTGGTTTGTAAATTACAGTCGAGCCATTTGTTAGATGTCTATTTGTAATGCAAACTACTCTTGTAAAATTGTTTGGTAAGTGCCACATTAGATACCAACAGAGACCGATTCTCTGTGTAATGTAGTCATTTAAATTCCCATTTTGAGAAATGATTCATTCTTTGAGTACGAGCTAGAAAAGTTGACAGATGTACTTAAAAGCTATGTCACTTAAAAAATAAAACAAACCTTCTAGAGTGCCTAGAGAGATGGCTCAATGGTTAAGGGTACTTTTGTTCCCAGCACCACCATAACTGCTTGTAACTTCAGCAGGGGATTAGATGCCCTCTTCTGGTCTCCCCAGGGAGTCAGCTGCATGCACATGCACAGGCTTACACACACACACACACACACACATACAAATACACATATACAAACAACACACACAACACATAAACACACACTCTAACAGATAAAACTCATTATCTGTCTTAAGGTTTCTATTGATATGAAGACATACCACGACTATGACAACTCTTATAAAGGAAAACCTTTAATTGGGATGGGCTTACAGATTAGTCTATTATAGTCCATTATTGGCATGGTGGGAAGCATGGTAGCACAGGGGCAGACATAGTGTTGGAGAGGTAGTTGAGAGTTCTACATCTGGATCAGCAGGCAGCAAGAAGAGAGAGTGGGCCACTGGACCTAGCTTGAGCATCTGAAACCTCAAAGCCCATCTCTAGAGACACACTTACTCCAACAAAGACACACCCACTCCAACCAGGACAAACTTCCTAATAGTGCCACTCACTATGAGTCTATGGGGGCCATTTTTATTCAACCCACCACTGCATTGTTGAAGGAAATCTAAGTGAACCCTGATAGAGATTTTAACACATCATACTAAGTATACTATGTAAGAAGTATAATGTCAAGAGTAGATTCTGTTCAAAGAAAGTCATGGGTTAGTTTCTGAATGCCCAAGAAGGAAGAGAGTAAAAAATGAAAAACTTGTGTCCCCATAGAAGTGATACCAGCCAACTCTGGTAATGTGGACCCCTTCTTTTTAAAGGAGAAAAGTAAGGGGGGGGGGCTTCTATGTCCTCTGAGCCACTAAGGAATCCTCTCACCAGAGGACAGGGTCACCTTACATGGTGTCCCCATTTGTTCTCCCTTGTGATGTTGAAGTGCGTTTAGCTGTCATTTATTCAGACTTATTTATCCAGAGATGATGGTCCATGCCCAACCTTTATGTCCATGTATGTATGTATGTATGTATGTATGTATGTATGTAATGTATGTAATGAATTTATGTCATTTTTCCACGGAGACTGTCCTTTGCAATATGTTAATGCAATGAAGAGGTGTCAGTCTGCTGTTAACTTCCACAGTCTCATTCTTAGTATATCAAGCATCTACATATGCCAGATGCAACTGAGCATTTCAGAAGTTTTTTTTAGTTTCTATTTGTGTGTGTGTGTGTATGTGTGTGTGTGTGTGTGTTGTTCCAGTGCTAAAGTACCAAACTTGTGAATGAAGCTTGTGCTCTCACTATTATAACAAAATTTACCAAACAAAGCGGTCATTGTGTTTGTGCATGTACATGTATTAAAGCAGCAAATCTTGCTTTTTAAATTTGAGAGCCTAGGTTGGCCTTGAGCTCATGAACCTCCTTCCTGCCTTTGCTTTCTTACTGCTAGAATTACAGGAGTGCCATGTACTCATGCCTCTCTTATTTTGCTTTTGCATTTATATTACTATTTAGGCAATATAAATATTAAATACGTAAAATGCATACCATGTAAAATTGTTAGCTTCTGTAATCAGGAATTTTAAGTCATTAAACTAGGATTACTTAATTTAAATGTTGTGGCTAAGAAATTCAGAGCATGTTTTTTGAATCAGAAAAACCTGGTACTAAGTTAAAGCAGTATCAATCTCCAGAACAGCACAGTCTGATGTGGCTAAGCATATGAAATTTGATGAGGTTGACTAACTGAATTTTAAGTTGCATGTATTTATGATCAGTTAATCTCTGGATATGTGACTCATGGTCACCATATAGGACCAGTAGTAATTAACTTAAATTCTTAGGCCCAGTAATCTAACTTCCATTGTTGTTACAAGAATTAAGTAAATAGTATATTTAAGTCACCATGGCTGGAACAGAATGTATTCTTGGGAATTGGTAGTTAAATATTAATAATACGCATTAATTTAAACTTGTTTATTTTTACTCTTTTCCAGGTTTAATTTATTTTTGGAAATCAAGTTCAATATTAAAAAGAAAAAGCACACATTATTGGAAGCCATTTCTACTAACTCGTTACATTTTACTTATGATTTGATTTGAATACTGTCATGGGAGGAGCTGTGAGTGCTGGGGAAGATAATGATGACTTAATTGATAACCTTAAAGAAGCTCAGTACATCCGAACTGAAAGAGTAGAGCAAGCCTTCAGAGCCATTGACCGCGGAGATTACTATCTGGAAGGCTACAGAGACAATGCTTATAAAGACTTAGCCTGGAAGCACGGGAACATACACTTGTCAGCACCTTGCATTTATTCTGAAGTTATGGAAGCTTTGAAACTTCAACCAGGATTATCTTTTCTTAACCTGGGAAGTGGAACCGGATATTTAAGTACAATGGTGGGCTTAATTTTAGGTAATTTTATTTTTGTAAATTTCTCTTTATAAAGTGAGCTGAGTTCGCATGGCTCTTCTTGACCTACAGCATATTTGTAACTGTGTCTAGTATGTCTGAATGTGTCTATGTAAAAAGGCATAGTGTTTAGGTGTGGGAACACATGCTTGTAGTAATCTCCTCTTTCCTAGCACTGACCCCAATGGTTGGTTAGTTCTGGCATTGTTCTGTCTAGTTACAGTATATACAGCAGTATCTCAGTACTTAAAATCAAGCAACTGGGGCTGGGTCTGTAGTTCAGTTGGTAGGGTACTTACCTAGCATTTACAAAGCCCTAGGTTTGGCCTAAAACTTCACATACCATCACAGTGGTAGGAGACTTAGAAATCAAAGTCATCCTTAGTAACATACTGCAAAGTGAGTCTGCAACCAGCGTGGGATACATGAGACACCCCCCACCCCCTACACTACACTACTTATCCTCCCCTCCCCCACCAAAGTAACTGTCAGGTAGAAGCTTAGGTGTATATAAAGTGTTATGTCTACTGATACACAATTTTGGTTGTTTTATCAATGTTCCATTTTAAGTGGAAAGCGAATTGTGCCAGTCTTGAAGACAGATGGGGCAAAGCAAGGGACTGGGGAAAAAGCATATTGCAGCATATTCTGAGTCTGTTGTACCTGGCATTGCTTCTGGTATGGGAACAGGGCAGAGATCAAAAGGGAACAAAATTTTTTTCTTTGAAGAGCTTAGAGGGTACTCAAAATGAGTGCTAGCATTGCATATGACACATAATATAACCAGACCATAATAACGCCTTATGATATGCTTTTACCTCATATGACTACAAAAGCATAAATAATAACCAGGTTATAATAATATCTAACGTGACATAACTATCGCTCATATAGCTGCAGGAGAATATAATTTTTTTAAAAGATGGAAGCTTAGTTTTGTGGGATCTTGCCCTGAGGTCACCAGTCCCTTAATTTTATTTAATATCTTTAATCTGGTCATCTCCTTGAACATGGGATTTAGCTCTCTTCTACTTCCGGGTGCCCCTTTAATCCTTGAACCATACATACGTTTAAAATTTTTCCTTTCTCAGTTTCCTACATTTGATCAAAAACCTTCTTAATAGTGAACTGTAGGACAGAGTCTATGCTAGGCTGTTTTGAGATTTCCTTTGCCAGTGCAATCAATATAAATCTTTTCACTGTGGCTTCAGGCAGATTCACTGGACAAGGGTAAAAAAAGCAGTCATATTCTTCACCAAAATAAACGAATGATCTCTAGAAACATTCTAAAGCTGTTCTTCTCTGAAACCTCTTATATCAGGCCCCCACAGTTCAAATCACCCTCAGCACCACTGTCTTCTATATTATTACTAGGATGGCCCCTTAAGCCCCACTTAAAGCACTCCTTTACTTTCTTAATCCAATGTCCCAAATTTACATTACTCCAAACAAAAGCATGGTCAATATGCAAGTCCCTGGTACCAGCTCCTGTCTTCAGGTTTCCATTGCTATAAAGAGACACCCAGACCAAGGCGACTCTTATAGGGGCAAACATTTAATTAGGGATGGCTTACAGTCGGGGGTTTAGTCCAATATCATGGTGGAAAGCATGGCAGTGTGCAGGCAGACTTGGTGCTGGAGGAGCCAAGAGTTCTACGTATGGATCTGCAGGCAGCAGAAGGGGACTGTGTAACTGGTCTTTGGCTATTTTGTGGATTTTTTTTCTTCTGCTTTATCCCCTCTTGTTTTACCTCCTATCACTAGATAGGAGAGAAAAAAGAATAGAGGGGATAGAGGAGAGAGATTCCTGAATAGTCATGGGTCAAAAAGGGGTCGACATTATCATTAGACTACTCCTGCTGATGAGGAGCATCAAGTGTCTTGGGGCAGGTTTGAGCTGTGCCATCACGATATTCAGATTCTTTTTGGTGTATAACTACTTAACAAAACTGTGACCAACAACAGCCAACAATCCACCCTGCCTTCTGGGGTCCTAGCATTTATATACCCTATGAAAAGTTCCCAGAATTCCAAACATTACACAATCTCAGAAATTATCTGCAGCTGGAAAAATCACCCCTGCTAGAGCAGGAGACAAATGATAGTTGGCTGCTGTGGACAGTCTGAAGCAGCCCCACATCCTATAGCTGGGATCAAAACAAAAACATATTCCTATAATATTTCTGTTTTTTTTTTTTAAAGAAAACAAAATTCCAAAATTGTCGCTATAGGACTGAGCTGACCTTGCGTATAGGAAATCTCAAAGCCTACCCCCACAGTGGCACACTTCCTCCAACAAAGCTACCCCTACTCCAGGACTGTACCTCCTAATAAGTGCCACTTCCTTTGGGACAAGCATTTAAACACTCAAGGGCCATACCTATTGAAACCACCACAGTTATTACTTTTTTAAAAAATTAAACTCTTCAGTTATTTTTAAATATAACAAGTAAGACAGAGCATCTGTGAAGCAGTGGTCATAGCTAAGTTTTAATCTGTTAAGCTGCTCTCGGAGCCTTATTCCCATACTACAGTCTCGTATATTGATTTGTGTTCCATGTGTTAAATCAGAGGGAAGGCAAGCGAAAAAGTCCTCGGACCTGGAGGACTGCTTACACAAAGCCTGTTGCGTTTGCAAGTCAGGTGTGGTTCTTCCCTACACAATGACCATATTTACAGAAGCCCTTTCCTTAGCATGTGCTTGCTATAGAGATCCAGCAGAAGCTGGGCAAGCAGGCATCTTTGGTGTTGTAATATGCAGTTAAAGGAAAAGATGTCCCTTGGAGAATCCTTGTCTCACTCAGAAATGAGTATAGAGGGTAGTCTATAATTAGAGCATTCTTGTTCAGAGAAGGCCAGTTAGAGTTTTCTTTGGAATGTTAAGGTATACTTGAAGTAGTTATTCATGAATTTAATTTTGCTCCAGACTTGGAGAATTAGGCCACTTCAAATCCGAATATGTTGTATTAGAGCATCATCTTTAGTTTTAAAGTCAAAATAAATTCTGTTCTGCTCACTTAACTGTCTTCCCAGAGCTCAGGATTTTTACAAGGGACTCTTAACACTGTCTTTGTTCCTGTATAATTAAGTTGAAGAGAAGAAAAAAGAAGCTTCCCAATCTTTTACCTTTTAAAAATGAATACCAAACCATTACCATGACTGTCATTCTTATAGCTGCTGATTCCAGTGGGGGTGGTTCCTCATTATACTGTTTCTTTTTGGCTTGGGAATTTATTCCTATTTTCCCAGTAGAACCTGTAATATAGAAACTATAGTTCTATTAAAAGCAGTAATACATACATATATTTATCCAACTTAAATATTTTTAATAGTCTCTTTTTAAATTTTTTTTAAAGATTTATTTGTGTATGTAAGGACATTGTTGCTGTCTCCACGACACACCAGAAGAGGGTATTGGATCTCACTACAAATGGTTGTGAGCCACCATGTGGTTGCCAAGAATTGAAGTTAGGACCTTTAGAAGACCAGTCAGTGCTCTTAACCACTCAGCCATCTCTCCAACCCTTTTCCTAGTCTCTTGACTAATTCTCTCATTATCAGAAGTGACTGAGGAGAGTCCCAGAATCATTCCAGTGCTGTGAATACTGCCACTGTGGTGTTTTTACAGTTTGCACTCTTAAAGGTGAAGCAGGCCACAAGCAGGCAACTTCTAGCAGCTTGTCCAGAGGGCCTGGTTAGTTACAGTGTGTGCTATCATCCTGTTTGGTCTTCATACCTCCTATTGCAGGATGTTAAATGATCCTTATTCACAATGCTTACATTGCCTTTGCCCTCAGAAAATGTTCACACATTTCCCCTCTCTGCATTTGTATGTGTGTATGCTTTCTCTCACTTCCTCTCGTTTTAATCAGGTATGGTTTATATACTGGAAATCTTACTATTTTCTCCTTTACTTTTAGTCTATATGTATGAGTATTTTGCTTGTATGTATGTCAGTGAATCATGTGTGTGCCTGGTGCTTTTGAGGCCAGAAGATGGCCTGGAATTACAAAACGTTGTGAGTTGCCATGTGGGTACTGGGAATTGACTTGGAAGAGCAGCCAGTACTTGTACAGGAGCTGTCTCTCCACCCTTAAGTTTACCTGTTTTTAAGTCTTTAACTCAGTGATTTTTTTTTTTAATAAACGGAAGCATAGTGCAAACTGCCACAGTCTAATCTTTAAACACCTCTATTAGAGCATACTCAACAGTATCCACACTTGAATCTCATCATAACCTTGACAGCCAATTGCTCCTGTAGATCTCGTTTCTGGACCTTTAATAGCAATGGACTCACACAGTGATCTTTTGTATCTGGTTTCTGTCACCCAGCTTTAGCTTCACAACTCATATGTGGAGTCTGACTTGAGGAATAAATGCCATTACATTTTTTTTCCCTTCCAATCAATTCACAGTTGATGTATGTTTGAGCTACTATTTTTGGCTATTTGGGAATACTGTCATGAGACTCTTATAGAAAGTCTTGTGTGGACAATTGCTTTCTCCTGAGTAGATCTTAGAACTGGAATTATTGAACAGAAGGTAAAATTATATTGTCCTTTTTAAAGCAATTACCATCCTTAAAATGTGGCTTCAGTGTTTGACATTCCTGTCAGTATTGTATGAAGTTTGGCTTGTCAGCATCTTCACTGACTGTGTATCTCTGCTAGTGCCTGTGTATTTCCATCTCTGCTGGTTGAGGATCAAACTAAGCATACATTTACTCTGGACTACACCTCCCTTTTAAGAATCTGAGCTTCTTTATCTTTAGTAGCCATCTAAGTGGATGTGAATTGTCATTGCATTAGAGTTCAGTTTGACACTTCCATAATTATTGAGCATCTCTTCAGTACTAGTTGGTTATTTGTGTAGCTTTGGTACATGTCTGGGCAAAGTTTTTACCTATCCATTGTACGTTGTTATTGTTTGTTCATTTGTGGTTTTATTAGCATAAAATTTTATAATGTTTCTTCAGGTTTTGTAAGGACTTCTTTAACGTGGTC